CTGAAAAGAAAGACGTTTACATCAGTCAGTAGTGTGATTTGATTATAAGTTAAGTGTTTAAACTAGTCTGAAAGAAAGGTTGATGTATGGGTTTTGATGTTATGGTTAACATTCTTTTAACACCATTTCGTCCATTTGCAAAGTATTGTTTCATCCTTTTGCGAATAAAACATTTTATAGCGTGTCTTCCTATTTTAATGAATGTGATCTATTATATATTTCACAAAGAATGTCTGTTCTAGGTTTCAAAACTCCAGCTTAAATCATCCATGACAAATAAGCGTCATTGTACCGATGGTTTGGGCCGGAGACGTCGCAATAAGGAACATTGGAAGGACGACGTGTGTTCTACCTGTGTATGTAAAGTAAGTAACTGAAAAGGATGGATATTATAAGGATTTAGTTGCTGCATTTCTGTGTTGTGTTAATATTTGTTTATTTAGTGTTGTGAACATCAACTCCTTATAAAAACCAAGCAAGTTAACGTGAGTAGGTAGAACATAACCAATAAATATTTTATTTTTATTTTTAAGTTCAGATATTACACTTTGAAAAGTACATTTTATATGTATGTTAAGTTGGATGGCCTCCTGGTGGCATAACGGTAAGTTTCAGGGATTCAGTACTCGAGGTGGACACAGCGCGCAGATAACCCGCTGTATAGCTTTACGCTCAACAGACAGAAAGTTGGATATTCTTTCCACACGTCAAACAAAATTTTGTTTGTTTTCGTGTTAAATCTGAGGCTATCTGTAGTGTACCCACCACGAGTATCGAAACCCGGTTTTTAGTTTTATAAGCTTGCAGGCTTACCATTGATCCAGTGGGGGGGGGGACACAGCTAAACGATAAAAAGTAGGAAAAGTATGTGGAGGTGTCTCAATGAAAGGCTTAATGTCAGAACATTGGTTTTATTTGAACAAGTTTAACTGGTTTACAATGATCTGACTTTAGGAGTGGTCTGCTTGTTTTATTTGGACAAGTTTAAAAGCAAACCACTCCTAAAGTCAGATCATTGTAAACCAGTTAAAGTTGTCCTAATAAAACAAGCAGACCACTCCTAAAGTCAGATCATTGTAAACCAGTTAAAGTTGTCCTAATAAAACAAGCAGACCACTCCTAAAGTCAGATCATTGTAAACCAGTTAAACTTGTCCAAATAAAACAAGCAGACCACTCCAAAAATTGTAATAAAATAAAACTGCATACAAACATTAATAAATAAATGTCTGCTGCTTCAGAAGATCGTTAAAAAATGTTTGGATCTGATGTGTTATAAAGGATGTAGATCTCAAAGTGATTAGATATTTCAATAGTTTTGTAAAGTTTTCATATGATATAAAGCCGTTTTCTAACTACACAGAAAGACTTGATGTGGTGATGATTTTTAATAACTTTTCTTTCGTTTAGTCTGGTCAAGTACTTTGTCGAACTCGGTCTTGTCCACCGCCCACTTGCAACAACCCTGTGATTAAACCTGATACTTGTTGTCCAACGTGCTAAAGATCACTTCAACTTTCTTAATGTGTTAAGCCTGATTATGTCCGAGTTACTTGACGAAGTCGTGCATCAAGTACACAGGCGTCATCTGGAGAATGACTTTATCATAAAAAAAAAAAGTGGACGGAGAAAAAAAACTAAGAGAAAATTCGGTTGTTTTAAAACTTCATTATTAGGCATTATTGTTTATTTTTTTAAATGTTTAAAACTACATCGGTTACCAACTGTTGACCAATGAAAGATCACATATTTTATATTGGAGGAGGTAATAAGATCCTACATGATCGAAACCCAGTACAGTGGACGTCAGTTATTCAAATATTGATGTGTATGCTTTGCATTTTTTTATTTGTGTGCAATTATAAATACCAACTTACTTTGAAAATACCTTGCATAATTGATTTTGTGTTTATATTTTCAACTTACTCTATCAGTGTTTCTAAGAAAGCTGTACGTTCTTAAACTATAATCTCTGTTTTTAGAAATCGCATTATTTTGCTTCGTTAGTCTCGTTTTATTCAGTTTGGTCTGTAAAAAGTTGAATGTGTACTTTCTTTAACGAACTTAAAAGTATTTTGGAAAAAAATGTTTCTCTGTTTTTATTTTATATTACAGCGTTGTAATAACTTAAAACATTATTCAAGCACTTGTAACTGATACATTAAGATCTACCCCTATTTATAAAATCGTTTTCAATAACCTTATTTCACTTTTTAAAACTGTATATAATTTAACTATATATTTTTTATATATATATGGATAACGGTAAAAACTTTTAAAAGAAGCGTGAAAATTAATTTGGTAATTATTGACCACATTTTCTAGGTTTGAGTTAAACCAAATCATACTATGAGTTAAACAAAGTCCTGGCCATCCCTATGGTTTTCACCTTCATGGTATAATACAGTTAAAGTATGGTTATTTGTAAATATAGATGGCAATTAAAATTAGCACTTCCTAGGAAATATAGATGGCAATTAAAATTAGCACTTCCTAGGAAATATATATGGCAATTAAAATTAGCACTTCCTAGGAAATATATATGGCAATTAAAATTAGCACTTCCTAGGAAATACATATGGCAATTAAAATTAGCACTTCCTAGGGGAAGTTACATCACCGAACTTTCACAAGCGATGTTATATTTCACCATTAAAGTTTAGCATTTTCAAGTTAGTGATGTCTGTAGTGATGAAGCGTATGGGAAAAGGAGAGGTTACTCCACGACCATCTACCAGTCGCACACGGGAGGCAGGGAAATAAGTTTAACAGCTTATAATAAGAAATATCTATTACAACTAATAGCTAAAACTGAAATAGCTAAGTTAATTAAAACTTATAATAATACATTCATGGATGTTTTAGCTATCCCTCAAAAGGTCAGCAGTAGGTTTACGTAAATATCCCAGGTTCGATTGTGGACAGAGCACATATATTCTGTTGTGTAACTTTGGCCAAAATGCATCATATTCTTGATATTTTGTGCTACAAACACAAATATTTTCCAAATAACACTAATCAGTTACGGGCTGTATTTCTAATGGATTTTATCATATATATATATATATATCTTAAGTTTTAAATATCAGAGAACCAAAACATACAATAATTTATTATTTATCAATTAATATATTTAATGGAAAAAAATTTGTAAATAGGTCTGTTCATTAATTAATTCTGACTAATTTTTGTGACATATTCTTAATGTAAAGCAACACAATGGGCTATCTGCACTGTGGTGAACCGAATTTTAGTGTTGGAAGTTCGTAAAGCAGTGAACAATAATTAAGAATTATACACTATTCACTGTTTTATATTGATTTAGTGAATAAAACGATTCTGGAGCATGAGATAAATCACTGAATTGTGGATAAAGTCCACTCTTTATTAACTTCTCTCTCTTCTTAATGTCTTAGTAATTAGAAACTTTGAGAACGTTATGAGACTTGTAACTTATTAAAATAATCAAACAAAAAAGCAATGAAAATTAACGATTTTGTATCAGTATAACACAAAAAATAATATAAATATTAAATCAAATATATAAGTTTAAAAATTTTGTTAATAAATTCCAATAATACCTTCATTTTATAAAGGAAGAAATAGTTGAACCAATACTGATAAAGGTCCAGTTGTTAAACAAAGGGTATGATAACCTCCAATTAACAGTCTAGCATACCCTTTGTTTAACAACTGGACCTTTAACAAACTGTCAGTTGGAAGTTATCATACCTTCTGTTTAACAACTGGACCTTTAACAAACTGTCAGTTGGAGGTTATCATACCTTTTGTTTAACAACTGGACCTTTAACAAACTGTTAATTGGAGGTTATCATACCCTTTGTTTAACAACTGGACCTTTACTAGACTGTTAATTGGAGGTTATCATACCCTTTGTTTAACAACTGGACCTTTACTGTCAGTTGGAGGTTATGTTTAACAACTGGACCTTTACAAAACATTCAGTTGGAAGTTATCATACCTTTTTTGGTAAAGGTCCAGTTGTTAAACAAAAGGTATGATAACTTCCAACTGAATGTTTGGTAAAGGTCCTGTTTGTAAAGGTCCAGTTGTTAAACAAAAGGGTATGATAACTTCCAACTGACAGTTTGTAAAGGTCCAGTTGTTAAACAAAAGGTATGATAACTTCCAACTGAATGTTTGGTAAAGGTCCAGTTGTTAATAATAATTTATGAGTGGAAGTAAATAATAGTATTTGATATTACGTAAACCATACCATACCTTCTAATCTAGTGTTGATGAGCCCTTTCTGCTATACCTGGGTGGCTGAGATACAACAGACGTAGTAGTGGATGAGACATTATTTATATTAGCAAACTGCTTGTCAACATTGTTACCATGTGGACTGGATTATATTGTTAAAGTATAACACTTAAGAATAAGGTGAAGATTTTTTTAATATTATGTTATTTATTTATTTTTACACCAAATCGTATTAATTATTATTTTCTTGACTTAACCTACTCATTATAAGAGTTTTATAAATACCCAGTTTGCAAATAATACACATGATTTTTCCACTAAATTTTTGGTGGATGTCCAGCACATGATTTTTTCCACTAAAGTTTTGGTGGATGTCCAGCACATGATTCCTTCCACTAAAGTTTTGGTGAATGTCCAGCACATGATTTCTTCCACTAAAGTTTTGGTGAATGTCAAGCACATGATTTTTTCCACTAAAGTTTTGGTGGATGTCCAGCACATGATTTCTTCCACTAAAGGTTTGGTGGATATCCAGCACATGATTT